TATGGGCGTAGTATTTCCGCTAAACGTCGCCAAAATGTGCCATGGTGTTTGAGTAAAATCGACAATGGCCGCATCTATTATGCTTCACCCGCAACCCGAGTTAGTTGATTTGACGATGTTTATTGAAAAAAAAAAAAAAACCAAAAACAAACTCCACAAATTAAAATATTTATAACATTGAAACATATTAACTTAATCGTTCGTCATATTATGTATTAAACAATGTACAATGCGCAGTATTTTATGCATAGCGACTATAGTCGCCCGTAGTATGTGACTGGCATTTTATATAGAACGTTTTCAATCGCCCATAGTACACGTCAGTAGTGGTCATTTTATGGAGAGCGACTATAGTCGCTCGTAGTAGCGAAAGGGTTAATTACTTTCCGAGAACGTTCATACGCTTTAATCGTATTAGAAAGAATATAAAACAACCTAAACGTGTATCTCTCGTTGAAGTATTAATGATTCTTCATCATCTTCATCTTCATCATTCTTTTTTTTTTCTTCTCCTCTTTCATGTCTCTAATCAACAACAATATCGAACGAAATAACTATTATACAAAAGAAAAAGAGAAAAAAAAAAGGAAAAAAATTATTTCAAAGCTACTTATACCGATAATGCGTGCAATTAAAAAAAAAAAAAATATATATATATATATCTATATACATATACGTATATATGTGCGTATATGAGTTACGACATACGCATCATATACGCACATATATACAACCATGTATTATTATGAAGAAATATTATTAATGACACGTGTACAATTCATTGTATATTCATGGTATACTGCATGCGATATAGTTAGTTTGTTCATTAATTAATTAATTAATTCAATCAATCAAACAATTATTATAGAGCAGTGATAACAACGATAACAATTAACAACAACAATATATATATATATTGTTCGCGAATTATTTGCAACGCGAATTAGAGAGAGAAATGATTTGATAAGATAAAAAACAAAAAGAAAAAACAGTTCGACCGGCAACGTATATAAATATTCACCTTTATGATACTCTCCTCTTTTTTTTTTTTTTTTTTCTTTCTAAGGTTGGACAATTTTTCGCACAACATAACACGTAACATTTTGTGCTGTGCTTTCAAAATCAAATAGCTTTTTACCTATGTAAATGTATACGTTTGTTTGTGTCTATGTGTTTTCGTGGAATACGTGTTATGTGTGTGCGTGTATCTATGTATGTATGTATGTATGTATGTGCGCGCCTGCGTATGTGTATATATAATATGATATAGGAAAAAAAAAAAATCTTCTTTCGTCGACTTTGTACACGCAGGCCGCTCAAATTCGCTTGCAGTTTCCACGATCCAATTACAACGACCCTGCATATTTTTCCTGAATTTTTATAAATAAATAAATATATATATACATATAAATATATATGTATATATGTATATTTATGTATAATATACATTATGTGTGTATATATATATATAAATACGTATACATACAGGGTTTAGGTTTTGAAAACGTCAAATGTACCTAAGTGATATTCAAAATCAATTAAATCCTTTTTTCGTAAGAATTTTTCAGACTACATTTAGACTTATTATTTGTTTTATTTTTAAAAATAAAAATAAAAAAAAATCAATTGGTCTAAATAGTAATCTTGATTAAATACAAAAAAAAAAAAACAAAAAAACTAAACAAAAGAGAATAATTGGTTTATTATGGTATTCTATATATGATATTTATATATGGTATTCTGTTTAGAAAATTGGTAACACCTATCCTGTATATACGTATATATATATATTTATGTACACACATATATATATATATTTCTTTTGTATTGTTGTTGAAAGTTTTAATATCGAAACACGTGTCGGTAAGAAGAGTGTCTTTATGTCTCCTAGAATATACATCCATCTTGAATTTTACGTGTACATACATACTATCTATATGCAATATTGTTTGTTTGGCATTATTCTTTCTTTCTTTCTTTCTTTCTTTCTTTGTTTTTTTTTTCTAATGACATATCTTTTGTATAAAATATATTTAAGAAATTATTTTGCGATTAATTATAATTTAACGTTGACGAGATATTTTTTGTTTTTTTTTTTTTGTGTGTTCTTCTTCTTCTTCTTATTATTATTATTATTGATTTAGTTGTTAATAATTAACCAATGTTAAATATATCGAGAAATGTTTATGCATGTATATAACGTAAAATAATATATGGCGGCCATTTTGAATCGTTCATTCAGTTTGGCGACGACGACAACGTAATAACACATGGATCATTCAAATAGACATCGAAATGTTTCTTAATACATTAATTATCGATTATTAATATTATTAATATTATTATTATTATTATTAATATTCTTATTATTATTATTATTAATATTATAGATTATTATTATTATTATTACTATTATTACTATTTATTATTATTATCATTAATATTATTATCATAATCATTATTATTATTATTATTATAATAATCATCATCATCATCATCATCATCATTATTATTATTACTTTGTCACGTGTAATTTACGGAGAGAGACACTCTCCTCCGTGTGTATGTGTGTGTATATGTGTGTGTGTATCTGAGTGTTATTTAACGTACTTAATTTTCGATCAAGGTCAATTCACGTGAATACGATTGACACCGTAATTGATATACCTAATATACATATTTGTTTGAAACTGGCGTCGGCACAAAATTAGCTGGTTTTAATTCACACAATTTTAAATCTGTTTCATTCATTTCAGAGAGTTTCTTAATTTTTATTTTTTTTATTTTTTTTTTATTTTTCCTCCTCTTCTTCTTCTTTTTCTTTTTCTTCTTCATGTTATTCTCTCTCTTTTTTTTTTTCAGAAAAAAAAAAAAAAATCATAGAGAAACATTTGCGATTTGATTTATTCGAAAAAAAAAAAAAAAAAAGAGAACTAAAAAGCTTATTTGCCTCAAATAAGCTGTTGTTTGCATTCGTTAATAATGGTACTACTTAAAGTGTACTGACGATGTACAAAAATGTAAAAGAATATATCAAATTTAGGAAATACATATTCAAGATACATATACACGTGTATATATAAATATATATATATGTGTATACAATATTTCTACAACATGGGTTACAAGACATTTTTCAGATAATTTGGATAGCAAAATCAAATTGTTCTTATTTCCAAACTTTTTCTAACTAAATTTTCTTTCAGATCAGTTTTGTAATATACTGCAAGACCAAAAGCTTTTGAACGACCATCTATTGAAACAAAATAAAAAGAGAAAGATAATTGAATTTATAAAAATTCGGTTTAGGAACTAACTTTTGTCTTATCTACAAAAAAAATCTTTGATAGCCATCTTGTATTACATATGTGAATACATATATATAAACATTTGAAATTAATTTTTTTTTTTTCGTTTTTTTTCTTCTTAAGGAGAAATTAGAGATAGAGACAGAGATAGAGATAGATAGTAAATGGATAGATTAAATAGAAAATTTGGTGTTATGTATATGTATATGTATATGTATATGTAGAAAATGATATGTGTGTGTGTGTGTGTGTGTATGTGACAGAGAGATAGAAATAATCGCGTAGTTTACTTATGTACGAATTCGATCGAACGTTTGAAAAAATATACTTGTCAAACGAAATGAAACTTAAATCATAAAAGATTAGATTTTGTTTTTTTTTTTTTACTTTTTAACTACCAATTCCTCCTGCTGTTTCCATATATAACACGATTCATATATGTATATATATTATATACAACAGCACCTATTGTGAATTCTTGTTTTTTACTTACTTACTTACTTTCTTTCTTTCTTTCTTTCTTTTTTTTTTTCATTATTATTTTCATTTTATATTTCTCCTATCTATCTCATTTTATCTCATATTCTTCTTTCTTTCCTCTTCGTTATAAAAAAACACTCTCTTTTTACAAAACATATACATATATGTATGTATGTATGTATGTATATTTATCAATTACATCAGAACAAAACTCATTAATATGTAATTGATAATTTAAAACAAAGAACGAAAAAAATAGAAAGGTCCGACAACTTATTGCAATTATTATTAATATTATTATTATTATTATTATTATTATTATTATTATTATTAAATTGATCGACTAATCTAATCTTATCTATTTTTAAATCTAATTTTTTCAAATATAAAGCTAGCCGATATATTGCAACAAGTATTAAAGAAAAAGAAAGAAAGAAAAGATGAGATAGTGAGATGTTGTTTTCCACAAATAACAAATATATAACAAAATTATTATTATTATTATTATTATCATTATTACTAAATCATCATTATCATTATTATCGTAATTATAATAATAATCATCATCATCATTATCATCATTATCATTATCATTATTATTTATGTTTGTCGTCATCATTTGATAATTGTCATCTCATAATCGTCATCATTATCATTATAGTCATTATAATTGTGATCATTATATTAGTATCATCATCATCATCATTATCATTATCATTATCATTATCATCAGCACTATCATCAGCACTATCATCATTATTTTTTTTTATGCTCAATCGTTTATTATAAATCATATTCAATCATATTCATTCATAGTCATAATTTAAATAATTCTTTATTAGCCGCCATATTATATCGTCGCTGTTCCTAGCACTAATTATCAACGTCGTTGATTTCTTTTTAAAAGAGGACACACTATATATGCTTTTTCAATAGTCCATCATCGCGCTCATTCGTGGCCGACATTTTAAAAACCGAGCATTTTTCTTTTCATTTTCCTGGACTGCGCGCACTTTCATTTTAATGACGCCATTTTTTCGTTTAGGTTTTTTTTCTTGTTGTTGTTTTTTTTTTTCTTGTGTTTTTCACATTGTATTTTTATTTGTTTATTTGTTTTTGTTGTATTATTTCTCTTATATTTTCTCGTGTAATCGAATGTAATATTATGTAATGGAAGTTGCGAAAAGAGAAAGAGAGAGAGAGAGAGAGAGAAAGAAAAAGAGAGGAAGAGAAAGAGAGAAAGAAAGTAAGAAAGAAAAATATTTTGAGAAGAAAGAAGAGTCAAAGATACGGGGATATGAAAACAATCAAATGAACTGTGTAATGCGCGTATGGGGTTTTAGGATATTGGATTATATAGGAATTGGATTTAGAAATTTGTGTATTTAGTTATTATAGAAATGAACATTCTAATTCTAATGTAATTGGGATAAAATGATATTCGGTAGTGCTGTAGAAAGAAAGATAAAAAAAAAAAAATAAGAAAAATAAAAAAAAAACAAAAGGAAAGAAAAACTAAATCATAACATTTGGTTTATGGGAACATTGCGTATGTTAATTAGGAAACATGCTGTTCCATTTCAATAAATCGATCTATGAAAAAGATGACAATAGTCAGTAGGATAAGAACGTCGATCCAATAGGCGAGGGTTGTTAAATAGAGGTCTTCTTATGCAAGTATGCAATGTTATGCATGATGTGACTCATATTAGAAAGAGAAAGATTGATAGATATAGATAGAATAGGAAGAGAGAATGAGAGAGAATAAGAGAGAGAAAGAGAGAGAGAGAGAGAGATAGAAAGAGACGGCAATGCCGACGAATTCTAAACGTGTAAAAATACGTAGAAAAGATAATATCGATACGCGATGAGGCGATCATCATCATCATCAATAGCTTTACATCGATTATCATACAGCGTCGTAGGTTAGGTCAACTGGTGGCCTATGATGCGACGGGAGATAAGGTGGCGAAGTGGCGGTAGCAGGCATGGCGCTACCCGCGCCGGCATACCCAGGATAATTTGCGCTGGGCGCGTGAATGCCCGCTGGTGGCGCCGCATAGGTATCAAAGGTACTCGGGTACGTACCGTTGTACGGATAAGGATTATGTAGCATTCCACCCATGCCACTCATACCGCTCATCCCGTAAGTACGTTGCATCAGGCTTGACTCGAGGCCACTGAAGAGATAGCCGTTAGTCGAGCCCATTGGTACAGCATAATGAGGTCCAGGTATAATATTTGGGTAAGAGTTTGCGGGATGAGCGTGACCCATGCTAGGTGAACAGTTGCTCGATGCTAGATTCTCGACCGTGTACGATTTACTGTGTTGCTGCTGCTGCTGTTGTTGTTGTTGTTGCTGTTGTTGTTGTTGTTGTTGTTGTTGCTGCTGCTGCTGTTGCTGCTGCTGCTGTTGTTGTTGTTGCTGCTGCTGCTGCTGTTGTTGTTGTTGTTGTTGTTGTTGTTGTTGTTGCTGCTGCTGTTGCTGAGATTCCGCTTGATGTCGACTATTCATACCATATAGACCACCGTAACCGTCTCCAGGCGAATGATGTAACGAGCCTGGATATAAACCATTACCAGGTGGTAAAGGTGGACTGTAATTTGACATACCGCCTACGGGCATACCACCAAAACCTGGTAAATAGGATGACTGATGATGACCGTCCATTTTCTCAACGAGCGAATCGTCCGACATATTTGGATGCGAGTGTTGAAGACGCTGACTTCCGCCGTCGGCTATACTTGGTATCTGATCTACCAAAGATTCAAGATCGCTCAGACTTTTTGATGACATGTCTTGTCCCGTGTTCCGTTTCATTCCGTATTGCTCGTGCGGATGATGATGAGGTGACATCGAAGAATGAGTCGGAGTGTGCGAATGGGTATGCGGCGGTGTCTGATGGGAGTGATGGGATTGTTCATCACACTGGCTCAGAGGCGTCGACGTTGTTTGATGCGGATTGTGAGGATCCGGTGTTTGATCGTGATAACCCATGTAGCTCGTATATCCACTGTGCGATGGTGTTCCTGGACTACCATGATGACTCGGATTATCACCGTTACCAGATGCGTTGTATTGTCGATGATCGTTCCCCATATTTTGTTGGGACATACTTGTCGGTGGCTCGAAATCCGGATGATCCACGCTCGGCGACGTTAACGGGGATGGTTCTAAATTATTTTCCGACGAAATTGCGGTATTTATCTCTGAGGACAGATCAGAATGTGTGAAAGAAAGGGTCATAGATTTAGGACTTTGGCTGTAATGTTGCAAATGTACAGGACTTTGTTTCGAGCTCATGTTATAGGGCGTGTCATTCATACCCTGCCCAAAGAAACCGGTATCGTTCATTTGTGGTTGCGCGTACGGTGCCATATGACCGAAAGGTTTCGGAGGTGACATCATTGGCGGTGAAAAACAATTAGGTACGCCATTGTTATAAGGATTACTCAAATGATTCATAACTTGATGCTGCTGCTGTTGGTGCTGTTCCCTTTCTCTATTTTCTCGTTCCTGTTGTTTCTGTTGTTGATGGATTTTCTTCGGCCGTCCTCGACGTTTCTTAATTACTTCCCCATTGGCATCTAATTTTTCCGGATCCGGAGGCGGTTGATCTTCCGGATTTTTTATTTTTTTAGGTCTGCCCCGTTTCTTTTTACCCGGTATCAAACCTGATTCTTGTTTTATAGAATTACCATTCATTTCTGCCATCTTTATATCACCGTCGTGTGTCAAATCATCCGAGTAGATTTGCTTCTTATCCTCGATCGCGTCTTGCTCTTTCTTCTTAAGTTTCGAATCGGCAAAAACAATGTCTGACTCATCCAAATGCGCGATCGTACCGTTCAAGTAATCACGGAATTTCTTAAGAGCTGCGTAATATGGCACCTTGTCAGCTGCTCGTGGTAATTGTGCACATCTCGCGCTGCTCGATGGCATAACCCACATGTACTGCAATATATTGTACAAAATATTGTAACATATTTGTAATACACATTTTAATGAAATAATAATCCGATATAAGAAGAAAAAAAAGAAGAAAAAAAAAATCAAAATATAAGAAACAAACAATCCTTACCGTATTTGTACCGTCAACAAGGTTCGGTTGTCTACCAAATCCGAATTCTTTCTTTCCCGAAAAGACTTCGTAAATCAATTTCCCGTTGAACACGGCGATTTTTGGTTTGTATTTTTGCAACTTCTCTAACAAGATATGACTACCTGTTGAAAAGAAAAAAGAAAAATGGTTATTGAACAAAAAACTGGCTTCAGCATCCAAAATGTTTTCAATTCGATCAGATAACACACGACATATTGTGTACCCTTACTCCATTAGTATACAGAAGTTTTCATCGTTTAAAATCAATACGTTTACTAGTGCCAATTAATATTCCACTTTCTATATATATATAGAATATATATATATATATATACAATGCATGTATGTGTGTGTGTGTGTGGAATTAGCTTCGGTAAACTACCTACATTAGGATCAGTAATTTATCAATTATGTTCAATGCAGAGTGAATAATCCAAAATCATTCAATTTACACCAGGGTACATTGCAACCTATCAACGGGATTGGTTAATGAAATATCTTCTCGTATGACGATCGTTCTTTGATTCAACTATTATAGTTGATGATTCTTTCTTCTGTATAAAAATATTTATTTCTTGCACTATCATTGGATTATTGTTTCAAATACAGGGGATGATATAATTTCAGTATAACTCAATAGAAAATGATTAAATAAAATAAGAAAACAATTTTGATATAACACATTTTTTCATTTGTATCATCGTCGTTTATTTTTATAAAGATCGACTTTTTGAAATTGTTGTGAAAAATTGAATCTGATTCAATTTAAATAATTTTTTTTTTATAAGAGAAAATATTGCACAAAGTTGGTAATCTGAGTAATAAATCGACTAAGATTTGACCGCTTAAACGTTTGCATTTGAACTGTTCGAAAATAATGTTTCTACAAAATGACAAATTCAGGAAGAAAATAAATTACTGTAAAAATGTTTCCTAGCAAGTCATCTTTCTTACTTTATCACGGATATAACCTTGAAGGGCCCCAGGGCGTAACAAATTTGATGGGGCCTCATTAAAACAATCAAATTATGTAAAAGTGTATGCATGTGCTTTCTCGCTCGAACAATTCAATGCACTTTACTTTAAAATTCGATTAAAGTAAGAAACATTATTTAAAAACTTTGAATGTGTGTATGAATTTAATAAATGTTAATGTTAACTAACCTTCTTTAATTTCTTTTCTCGTTAGATCTGCGCTTCCTTTAGTGGCACGTGCCACCATGTTCGTGAAGCCAATACCGAGTCGTAATAATTTGTAGTCATCGTCGGCGGTCAATGGTTCAGGCGTTAGTCCACTAAGGTGTAAACACTTCCCTGTAAAAAGGTGGGAAAAAAAGAAAACGTGATAAAATAACAAAGGTTTATTTTTATAGCTATTGTATTTTAAAACCACCGCGCGCCACACTCTCGTTGCCATTCTCTCTCTCACTCTCTCTTTTTCTCTCTCTCTCATCCCTCCACAATCTATTTTACGAGAATGGTATCTATTAATATCAATCAAAGAACGATTAAAAAGCCATTTACATATTATCAAGATACACGCATGATCCCCCATTTTTTTATATTAATAATAATAATAATAATCATAATAATAATAAATACTAATAATAATAATAATAATAGCTTCCCGATTAAACGATACACTTCATGTTAACTATGAAGGGTAGAGGTAAGGAGTAACATTCTTTGTATATAATGGACTAGAAGATCCTAGATGATAAAAACCACGAAACAAAATTGAATTGATACTAAGGACAATATATCTTGAATTTATTTCGCGTTAGTTAGTTCTACGATCTCCTAAAAGGAGAGTGTGATTCGTCATAGGACATGGTGTCTTGGTTGATCAGTTCGGTGGCCATAAAGTAGACATGGCTTCTTTTCTATTTTTTTCTATCTCGGAACTGTCCGGTAATCCTCGGTTTTTTCTACAACTCCCTTAGACTTTTTTCGGTAATTTTCGGTTATTTTCGATTTTTAATAATAATAATATTAATAATAATAACAGCTTTCCGATTGAACGATGCATTTCATTTCAACTTAAACCAAAATGAAGATGGACCCTAATAACCACACACACAAAAAAATGGAATTGATCACAAATTGATTATGTCTACAACTTCGTCGGCTTTTTTCGGTAATTTTCGATAATTTTCGCTTTTGATCTCTTACTATTTCCTTATTTATTTTTTTGATAAAATAGTCGACAATAACGAGAACTATAAGGACGAAAACGAAGACGAAGACAAAGAGGACGACGACGACGATGGCGATAACGACTACGACTACGACGACGACCTACTGCAAGCTTATATAGCACGACCTTGGAAAACTTCGAAACAAAGTTGAACGCTCGTCCGTGACCGTTATACTATACACTTTCGAACGCAACATGTGCACTTTTCAAGTTAGGAAGGAAGTAAGACAGAAAATAAAAGAAAAGAAGAAAGGAAGAAGGGAGGAAAAGGTCGTTTTTACGATCTTTCTTTTTAAATGGTATTAGATACACTGTTCTTTTTGAACAATACAAAAAAAAAAAAAAGGGACAAAACAAACGGAGAAAGTAGAAATGAAAAAATGTAACCTTGATCATATTACAAAATTCCTCGTAAATTCCTAACCTTGAATAGAATACTTTTACAACTTGTGGGGGGGGAAGGGAAATGAAACATTGAGAAAAAAGGATCGAACAACTAGCTTTTAAAAAATCATTTCGTAACTTTTCTCACCCTTACCTCTTCCTCTTCCTCTTCCTCCCTCTTCCTATCGACCTACACAAGATTTAAAAAAAAAACAAAAAGAAAAATTGGCGATCATTGTTAGGAAAGTTCATTGGAACATAAAATCCCGCCACTTCATTATTCCGAAACGCAACTCTAACTTGACTTAAACTTAAACTGCAAAAGAAATGTCCTCCTTCTTCTTCTTCCTCTTCCTCATCCTCTTTTTTCTTTTCTTACCGAAAGTTTCAAACGATCGTTAAGTTATTCTTCCTCCCTCTCTCACTCTCTCTCTCTCTCTCTGTTATCCTTCCAACACTTATTTCTTGTTTTGAGCTTTTGAACAAAAGAAAAAAAAAAGAAAAAAGAAGGGGTAGTCTGTCTGTCAGAAATACAATTATTGGCAATCAATCCTTTCAGTGGTGTATTTTTCTCTTAATCGATAAAATAGGATAGAGATTATCTTTTAAGAAATGTTAAACGAATTAAATGGCGACCTACATGTTTTTTTTTTTAGTAACGTTTTTACATCGTATCCTGTACGTAGGTATAAAACGAATGAACGAATGAACGAATGAACGAACGAACGAACGAACGAACGAACGAACGTAGGTCGTAGATGAGGGGATGAAACGCAGAGGAGGAAGAGAAGGAAGGTAGAGGTAGAGGAGGAGGAAGAGGAGGAGGAGGAGGAGGAGGAGGAGGAGAAGGGTCTAGTAGAGAGGAGAAAGAGCAAGAGGAGGAGGAGGAAGAGGAGAGAGAGAGAGAGAGAGAGAGCAGGTGAAAATCGATGAGAGAGGAGACGAGAGGAGAGTAGAGCGTGAAAAGCGCGGACCGCGCCTGAAAAATCAATTTTCAACGTTTTTTTCTTTTTCTTTTTCTTTTTTTATGTTACTTCGATGATCATGCTGGGACATACTTCATTTGCAATATCTGTATAAATAGTAGAGATAGTAAGAGTAAGAAGACTTTTCGAATTAAGATATTTAAGATCATAAATCTGGATCTGGAATGAGAACCACGTAGCTCTACACGATGGTTCTTAATTTTTAGTAGTAATTATAAATATAATCAGGTTTATAACTAGATTATAGAAGAATTCAATTGAGCTAACATTCCAATTGTAATCTTTTTTTCTTTCTTAATTTTGATTTATATGATCACCTTCCGTGTTCATCGTTCCGTGTTCCTTACGTTTTTTAAAAACAAATTGGCAAATGAATGAAACGTCTTTGAGAAAGATTCATTGAGAGATTATTTCAACAAAAAATTATCTAAATATATTTTACGTTAGTATCCCAAAAAAAATTATTTAATCCATGCAGAATTTGTTCCAAATGATTTAAGAAGAGAACCCCCCGCCCCTCTCCCCTTTCCCTCTCTTCCCCCGCTGCCTCTTCTCAACAGCTTTTTTGTCTCATATATCACTTAAACATACACGCGCACATACACAGATGCATAGATTATTTGTTTTATTATGCATCATCACGAAAAAATGAAAATTAGCTATAAATCGATGACGACGAACAATGAATGACGATAAAACAATGACGGATGATTTTTTTTCTTGCTAAAAAAAAAAAAAAAAAAATAAATCTGGCCTAGAGGTAAAACATCTAGTAAGAGAAAATCTGGAAAAGTTGGTGTTTCAGGGTTGGTATGATGGGTGAGAGGAAAGGGGAAGAGACAGGGGAAGGGGAAGGGGAAGGGGAAGGTGGTACGTAGGAGATCCTAGAAGCACAGGGAAACGTGCACGCTATCGAGCGAATAGACGTGCGACATTTTCCTCTCCTCTTCCCTACCCCTCCCCTCTCCTTTCCACTCCTCATAGCGTCGGTACCTTCCCGAAGGTTCTTCTTCTTCTTCTTCTTCCCAACTCTATCTCTCCATCCTCTACCTTTCCATCCTCTTCTCTTGGCATATTTTGCCTATCTCTTCGTTCGTCATTTTTTCTTTCTATCTATCTTTCTCTCTCTCTCTCTCTCTCTCTCTTTTCTTTTTTTATGTAAGTAGGAGAGAAGGCAACACTATTCTTCTTCTTCTTCTTTTTTTGTTCGTTGGTTATAGGTATACTAGTACGTACCTCAATTTTTTACTTCCTATATTTTCTTTTTCTTCTTTATCCTTCTTACCACCAGAGAACCACTGGTTTTTAACATTTATTCAAATTTTCCCGCTTTGCGTATTTTCTTTACTTTCCCCTTTTTCTTTATTTCTCTTTCTCTTTCTATTTTTTTCTTCTAATTGTCCTATTTTCTTTGTCTCTCTCTCCCCCTCTCTCTCTCTGTTCCTCTTCTTTTCTTTTTTTATCTTTATCCTTTTCTTTAAGGACAGGAAGTAAGAGAGAAAGTAACACTATTCTTCTTTTTTTCCTTTTTGGTTGTTCTGGTTTTGGGTACCCACTCTCTTTTTCTTCTTTTCTTTCTTACTACAAATATTCCTTAGTCTCACCCTGCATTAGAGTATCGTAATATTGCTTCCTTCCCTACCCAACCTTCTTCTTTAATTCTCCTTCTCTTTCTCTTTCTATTTTTTTCTTTTGTATATTACCTGTTACTTCTATTTTCTATCTTCTTCTTCTTACATTCTTCGTTTCTGCTTCTTCTTCAACAGAGGCTCATTATAACTACCACTTAACCTATCTCCACTATTTATTTTTCACCCATAACCCTATTTCCGATCTAGGAAAGCATACTTTTATATATTTCTACATATATTGTCTTACTTTTGTTTTTTTCTTCCTTTTAATACGACACTCTCACTTTTTTTCTCACTTTGTTATTATTTTCATTGTCAAGGCTCACTGTAGTAAATATTTCGTTACACGATAGTCCTATTTTCTTTGTCTGTCTGTCTGTCTGTCTGTCTTTCTCTCTCCCCCTCTCTGGTATATTTTTAGACAGTCTGCGGACAGGTTTTACGAGATAATAAATATAATAAAAGCACGTATATTATATTTAAAACAAATTAATAATTATTGCAATTAGAATGATTAATATCATTATTGTATGAAAATTAATTTTTATATTTTATATTTCAAAATTGTAAAATAAATATAACGCACGAGTGATCGTTATTTTTATTTTACTTTCATTTCATATTATTATAATAAAAAGAAGAAAAATAAAAAATTTGCAATAGTTAAAAAATTTGCATTGCCAAAAACACGCGAATGCAATTTAACGAGATTAGGTTATTCAGATATATATATATATATATATACATGTATATGTATATGTACATACGTACGAAAAAAATGGATCTATCCCAGTAGGTTTGGAATCTTCACGCGATAGATCGAACAGGCGACCGTCCGGCTGCCTGCCTTGACAATGTAAATTTTAGACGGTCACATTCAACTTTCTCGCCGGTAACAAAATATATAGCAACAGTAGTGAAGTGGCGGTGTTGTGCGCGAGAGACGCCGAGCAAAGAATTAGGTCGTCGACCGAGTGCCCTCCTCTGCGTGGCGGCGTGGACTCCGCGAAAGGATAGAAGAGATAGAGGAGAGGGA